ATAAAGCATAGGCTAAAGGCAATGCAATCAATATATAATTATAAAACACATATTAGAAAAATAACAATAATTGTAAAAAAATAAATCAATAAACTTACCAATTCAGCGAAATACGACTTTTCTGATTAATAGCAAATTATACAAACGCATGACAACAAGTGGGGATTCCATGATTTAGCTGCCGCACTCGTGTTCATTTGATTCCGTTTCTCCATCAATAATATCGATACCAGAGGATGAAGGTACACCTTCCATATTCTGACAACGCTGTTGAGCTCGGTTGATCATACTGCTATTTGTGAATGCCGGGTAACAACTAATTCGATGATAAGAGAAATTTGCATCGATATTTTCGACCGTGCTACTTCCATGCTGTCGCTAACAAATTGCAAACTTCTTTGAGCAACATTGCGTTCTTCCCCGTCTAGCGTTAGCCAAATTCTACTACAATCTAAAACATTTTTTATACGAAACCACACTAAAACTTGTAAGTGGGCCTTTTTTCCCATCAAAATGAATTAAACATGAATCAGAAGACGCCATGTTTACAAATGCTAAGCTGGAAACTTCATGTAAGAATGACCATGAGCCCGCGAAAATCGCCATTTATAGTGTTTATTACACCAAGTATCCCGATTTCTTCAAGAAGAAATACTCGAAGAAGAAATACTCGAAAACTGCAGGTTTTGGGAAGTGCAAACAAGCGGATTTGGACTTTGTATAATTTATTCTAATTATTTATCCTGTTTCAAAGTAGTGCCCGAACCCGGGCAACGGAACGGAACGATATCGTGCCACAGAATACGGCCTTTCTGTAATAGACCTTTCCAAGGTTTCTGCCGCCATATTGCGCGGCCACCAATGGCGCCCATACTATTTCCTGTTGAGTGAGTGAAAATTACCTTTTGACATTTTGTCCTTTTTCTCAAAAAATTTCTATACAAGCATATCCAATTTTTATTTTTAGATAATCGCTGGGTTTTTTCTGATGTGGCCGAGATTTCTTGCTAATCAAAGGACAGGAAGTAATAAAAAACGGCGGCTTTTGTTGCACAACTTGACCGAAGTTTGAGCGATGATTCTTGTTATTTCGTTTGTTTAACCGATCTTTGGAAGAATATTTGTCCATTAAGTGTGTAAGCCCTTTGGTGTCCGCCATTATTACTGTTTATATTTGTATATTTGTACAAACATCATCGCTCAAACTCGGTCAAGTACAATAAAAGCCGCCGTTTTTTATTACTTTCTGTCCTTCGATTAGCAAGAAATCTCGGCCACATATCAGAAAAAAACAGAAAAATTGGATATGCTTGCATAGGAATTTTTTGAGAAAAAGGACAATTTATGTCAAAAGGTAATTTTCACTCACTCAATAGGAAATAGTATGGTCGCCATTGGTTGCCGCGCGCTCGCCCCAATGTTTTTGCACCCCCTGTAATATGGCGGTAGAAACCTTGGAAAGGTCTATTCCCGAAGATGGGCTAGATCAGAAAAATGGCTTCCTAGTCATGTTCCTAGAAGGTAGCAAAGCAGAAAACATTTTTTCTTAAACACATTAATTGAAGGTGTGTACACCAGAAAACATGCATTATTTAGCACACACGCCGTACGAGAGGGTGGGGCTGTGATGCTACATATAAGATTCAACTTTGCCATCGGGCAGTTTGTACGTGAAATACTGGCAGATTGTACTGAAAAATAATAGGTCAAATTTGCTTAAAAATTATTATAGGGAAGTGTGGTCCGCATCAATTAAACTGGTGGAGGGAGAATGAAATACGCCACGTTCTCAAAAATGTGTTAAATTAATGTATGTTTCGATAATTTTACTTTCGCCGAAAATTTTTACCTTTCTCCCAAGTCCCAGCACACCAAGGCTCGCAGCGGACTTGCGTTGGAAAATTGAAAGTTTTGCATTTTGCACAGAACTGGTCAATACGAGCCCACACAAGTGGTAGAAGTCTCATCAAATTTGACAACGTGCCAGGAGACCTTGTTTCTTAGTAAAATCCTACTGAGTAACTCGGCGACTTACAAGCATACACATACCTGTCGTCGTATTACAAATAGACCTGTCATTCGAAGAACCAAAGATCTTCCATTTGCACTGGCTTTCGTGCACAGTAGTATCAGCACCAGATATCATTTGTAATGTACTATCATCGAGGCAGATATTTGTATCGCCTCTTATGACATTGAAAATACAAGTAAAATGTTGTTGTTTTGACAAAAAATCACACTCTTGCATACGAAAATTAGGTTGAGTTGAAAACCCCTCCAGACAATGTCCAGAACCAATGTTTTGTAAAATGAGATGTTCGATCCAACGCCATTCTTGGTTAGGGTCGTCAGGATCACATGCTTTTCCAACTGGGGGGTTCCCAGCGCCATCATGGGTGAGACATTTCCTATACAACGAGTTTTCTAGCTGTATGCTGTCACTTGCATCTAAGAGGATAAAAACATCTCCGGTCAGGCTAAGCATTACAGTCAGAATTGACAAATATGGAGATATGAATGCATAGCCAAGATATCCAGCAACAAAAGGTAGTCATAAGCAACCTACACTGCAAACTCGTTCCAGGGCTTTTCCATCCTTTGGGGCTCTGCCTCCTCCGCAGGCCCTCGTTGCGTCATGGGAAGGTCACGATCTGGCGAGGGCCTGCGGAATCTTGTAAAAAAAATGGCGCCGGCGTCACGTCAGCAAGTAAATTTCTACATAATCTTGAATATAAACAGATATAAAAAAGCGGCGTGAAACTTGTAAATTAAACTGGCGACTCTTAGGACGTGGAAGGAAGCATTTTTTAACGATAAGGTTTGTTGTCCACACCAACGATACACGAATAAAACTGCCTTCTTTAACGAAGCAGGTTCAAAACAACATTTATTCATTTTACAAGATTCCGCAGGCCCTCTCGAAATCGTAACCTTCCCATGACACAACGAGGGCCTGCGGAGGAGGCAGCTTTGGGGCTGGTCACGAAGTTAGTCACGTGACCCATACAAAATTGACAGACTAAGGAGTTGAGGGAAAGTCTCATATTGCATGCTTCCACTTCCGCACTCTACACTTGAGTGACTTGACCGTTCTGTAGAATCATCTTTGGAAATCATATATTGTTACATCTCGATCGATGCGGTAAACCGTGCAAATTCAAACGCGAGAAACGTATGTTTTTATCCTATACATAACTTTATTTCACCAAACACAGACAGCAGCATTGGCTACAAGTCTCGAATCTCACTCAAGATATTTCAATTTACCCCGCGAGATCCGCGATGTCACGGGACCAGGTTAAACCAGCGGTTTTCCTGCTCAAGAGAGAAACCCGGGAACGAGGTTGCCTAAATCCCCCTCCCTGCTATGCACGTGATAAAAATACCAGATAGGAGGATACAAAACATTTGACAGATTTGAGGCTTTCGGGAAAACAAAATTCTCGTGATTAGTAGTGGATCGGTATTCTTACCGGCCTTTGGTAAGCACTGCATAAGCCAAGTGAATAATATAACTTGCATCAACATTTGTAATGGACAAAACAAATCATATACATACACAAAAGTCTCACATCTTGTAGCAAGTCTGCCAACAAGTTGTCCTCACACTACTTGTCAAAAGTTGGGGTTTTTTTTGTTTTTTATATAAACAATATTTATTAAAGTCAAAAATTGGCAATTGCGCCAAAAGCCACTACAGGTTTAATTGGGCGCTCTTTGACGTTACATATTTACAAAAAAACAGCTAATAAAGCAAGCACAAATTTTGGACAAACACACAATTAACATACACATATTGGGCAAGGTAGTCAGGGGTGCTACGGGTGAAACAACCTGAATCAATAATGAATTTTGGACACTTAATAGTTAATAATAAATTAATATTCGTATCAATAGAAACATTCCCGATACCATAAAGTAACCACTTAAGACGTGTACCCTTACCAGCACCTGACCACGTTGCACCGAGTAAGGAAGCAGCAAAGGTGAGCAAAGTATTCCGAATAGCAGCATATCGGTCACAGTCGAAAAAGAAATGAGCTTGGAACAAGTTTGGAAAAAACTGTCGACAACTTGTAAAAACCTTGTTCATATAATCAGACTTGTTGCAAGTTTGTTTCAACAAATCCAAAACAGTCATGATACTGTAGAACAATATTGTTACAACCTTGTGTCATCAGCCTTGTAACATTCTTGTGATATCACGACTGTATCAGACTTGTTAGAACAGCTTTGCTACAAGTCTGATAATGCCATCAGGCTTGTTATAATTACAAGTTGTTAATAACAGCTTGTTCCAAACTTGTTAAAACGAACAAGCAGTGCGAACACAACTAGCTTGTTGGCTGCTTGTGAACAGATTTGTAAGAACTTGTTTGCAGACTTGTAACAACTGGCGCGTTTATACGCGTACTTGTGTACTATAAGCATAACACGTGAAGTAAGCCAGCAAGTAAAACAAAATATAAGCATATACAAAAGTAAGTCACCAAGTCAAACAGTATATAAGTGTTAGGTAAACTCAGATATATGTTTAATCGTTTCCTGAATTAAATCACAGCTTTTACAAAATGTTACTTGGTGGCGAAGTGGTTAGCGCACTTGCCTTTCACCTCTAAGGTCGCACGTTCAAATCTCAATGAGAATTTCTCAAAGTGACTCGAAACCAGTCCTCCTCATGCGAAAAGAGTAAAAAGCCAATGCTCTGCCGAAAGTCGTGGGTTTTCTCCGAGTACTCCGATTTCCTCCCACAGAGAACGTTGACAGGGTGGGTTATGCACAGAGGTTAAGGGGCAGATCATTAATGAGGAATGGACTAATAGCGACTGCTTAAAGTGCCATTTGTAAGCTCACAGTGACACAGTCTACCTCGGTCTGCTTCACGCCAGTTTCGGCTGTAATTGTAATGCGCACTTGATCATATAAATATGTAAAATCGCGCAATAGAAATATTATTATGTTACCATCTCATATATTTTTGTTTTTGTAATTGCCTTTCCAAATCCAAATATTGGATTTGGTAAGAAATTTGACCACACATATAAACAGTACACGTTTATGTTAGTCGTTAGGGGATACAGAATTAGAGACCTTAAGATTGACGTTTACGGCAAACGTCAAACCGCTAGCGAGGTTTTTGATTTTACAACTCTATTATAATAGCTTTTACACCAGTTTTGAAATATGTTAAACTTATTAAACTTGTGCTCTTTAGTAATGGTTTAAGAAAGCAAATTAACCACTAGTCATGCCATTCACCAAGCAGTAAATTGAGATTTGGCGTTTGAAGTTGGCGTTTGGCGTATAAATTTCATGCTCGAACTGCTACGAGGGCTTGTAGTCGTTAAAGCATGAAATTTATACGCCAAACGCCAACTTCAAACGCCAAATCTTAATTTACTGATTTGGTGAATGGCATGACTAGTGGTTAATTTGCTTTCTTAAATCATTGCTAAAGAGCACAAGCTTAAAGTGCATATGACATTAATACCATTTTTTCACCAAAAATCAGCAAAAATTAGACAATTCGAATGATATATATCATTCCTTGATCGGATAAATACTTCCAGAGATAATTTAGATCAAACAGGCAAAAAAATAGGGTTTTTCAAGACATGGCCGGGAGAAAAGAGGCTGAGTACGAATCAGGTTTGTGATGTCACACCGGGAACGGAAGTGAATCGACTCATGTTGTATTACAATAAATATCTATTGTGTGCAATGAAAATTTGTATACTTTGCGCTTCAAAATGCCTGTTAGATATCTTGTATACGACTGTTCTAACACAACAGATGCTACAAATCAAATAGCTCTACATCCAATACCATATTATGTAGATTTTCGGCTGCAGTCATTAAAGAGAAGGAAACATTGGATAGATTTGGATAAATTGAAGCGAGCCAGAACGGAGCCGTCTCGTCAATTGTCAAAGGCATGTTTGCACAAAGACATGCATTTCATGTCGAGGCTAAAAGAATGCACATTTCCTCGACTGAATGAGATATGAAATTGGGATTAGCGTTTATCTGACGGTACAAACTGCGGTCGAAACTCGAAAGGCAGCCTCACATATAATAATGCTATTAAAAATGCGAGGGTGATTTTATATACACGCAAGGTGAGACAATGTCTTATATTGCCTTTAATATACTTGGTTTTATAATTGTCGAGAATGATAGTATTGGATATTAAAAATAAAAGGAACTTTATTAAATACAATTGTATTATACTACATTAAAATTAGATAAAAGTTCTTTAAAAGTTTGTTGTTAAAACAGGACCCAGTATTAAAATATTCAATGTTCATATTTGAGTGCATCTA